ATAATGTGGATTTTTAAAACTTTACCTGCATAATCTTATCCCATTAAGCTCTATGATTCATTGTGGTCCCATCGTCAGTAAAATGTGAGGAATATTGTTATTTTTAAGTACCTCAAGATTAAGAGTTACTACCAAAATGTTATTTGGAGCCCTCAAATAGTGATGCTAGTTCTACCCCTCTGAACTTATATCCCATTGTGTATCTGCACAGCCTCCAGAAATAGAAACCACGAAAGTACCCACGTGTTTTCATAAGATCTCTTCATATTCTCTAACAGTCTGATTCAGTAGAAGATACAAACAAAATATCATTGCTGGTGGTGGCATTTTGGGGAGTTAATGTCTGTGACCCAGACAGTTTGGGGAAGGGTTCAGCAGAGGGTGACACTTGTCTGGACTCCTCACATTCCTGAGCCTGCTGTGCTTCTTTCCCTCGGGCGATGGCCCCTCACTACCTGTGTGTCCTTGGTGAACACAGAAAATATCAAAACTTACTGTATTTTTTTCCTGCCCTAAAACACCCACTATTCCCAACTTCCTGTTCTGGTAGGAGTTTCTTACAGCTTACAACTTACTTCAAGTGTAAGGTGTTACACTGTTAAAATACCCAGCAAGAAGGATTTTCACTTTGCAAGCTCTTCTAAGGTCTCAGTACTTGAACAGGTTTGACTCCCTTGTAGGCATGCCTCTTCTTCCATATACGTTCAATGATGTACTTATATGGTGTGCTGCACCTCTGCAATGCGGTGACTTCAGCAGGCAGGCATGTGTTTGAAGAATGAGTTTCTAGGTGAGGCACTGTGTGACTATTCTGGGGCTGGAAATTTCCCTCTCATCCCAAATTAATGATCTTGAAGACAAGTCTGTGTGGACCAGCAATTTTGAAAGTCTTTAAGAACTCTGCTGATGTTTTCCAAACTTGAGCAACAAAGAGCCCGGAAAGCATGCTTGTTCTAATCTATGCCTGAATGTAGCCTTTCAGGGGGCATGGTGGACAGGATGAGACACTTGTTTTGCGTAATGTCCAGTTATACTTTACACTTACACAGTTCAGGGGGCATGGTGGACAGAATGAGACACTTGTTTTGCGTAATGTCCAGTTATACTTTACACTTACACAGCTCCCTGCCATTTGCCAATGTAAAGTCTGGTAGGTTACTTTAAAAGGACCTTAAGAACAGCACTATCTTTAAGGAAGTGATGCCCTGAAAATGCCTGTATGCATGAAGTCTATTCCACATGCTGAGGAAGTTGCACTTGACAAGCAGAGCTTCGTAACTAGGTTTACTGGGTATTAGCTATAGTCCATTCTTAGGTACTAAGGCACAGACTGAATGCACATCAGGACCTACTGTGTTTTGGCACACTGTAAAACAAGTGCTGTTAGCACCACATGAGCTTAACTGGAATCTATAGCAATTAATATGTCTGAAAGGCTACCTTCCCAGGTTGTCCTGGGATGCAGCAAGCTACAGGAGTCATGGCCTGGGAGCTTAACTGGAATCTATAGCAATTAATATGTCTGAAAGGCTGCCTTCCCAGGTTGTCCTGGGATGCAGCAAGCTACAGGAGTCATGGCCTGGCATTGTTCTCCACTCCTTTAGGAGGCTCTCCTGTCTTCTGGACTCCTCAGTTGACAGGGCATTCCTAGGATTCTTCCTCTGAGTTATCCCACACAAGCCTGTGGGGATCAGTCCTTTGCTTGCCTACTTCCTTTGTGCAATCGCAGGGCCCCCCTATAGGGAATAACACTGAAGAAAGGGGCCCTCTTACCCAATGAAGAGTTAGACCTTTCCTGTTAGGCCAGTTCTGTAATTCTATCATTCACTTTCTTACTTTGGAAAACTGGAAACAATATTTTGGTGTTTTGTTTTGTTTTCCAGAAAAAAAAATTAACCTTAAGCTATCAAAAATATAATGAATAAATTCTCATCTTCCATGGCAAGTTACTCTTCTCTTTGGTGGTCATATTACAGTTATGACTAATGAATTTTGGGATCCGTTTTATTAGTGCCCTTGGGTACTTGTTGATCAAAAAGCTGCATTGTTTACTGCAGGGGGTTGGACTAGGCACAGATCAAAGTGCTGCTCCTAATTAGATCTTGTTAAAGTGCTTCTGAGTTACCTCCTCACCTCCAAGCTCAGTGGCTGGTTTCTCCTGAATTGCTACACTACATATGTATTTTCATCCAAACTGTAAAACCAAATGAAAACAAAAGCAGAACCAGGCCTCCATGAGAATCCTGTTTAACTCCAAGAGAGCTGTTTCTTTTTAAAGTCAATCAAGAGAGTAAATTTCTCACTTATTTGCATATAGCCACCGAGCACAAAAGCCGCCTTGCTTTCTTTCTTTCCTATCTCCCCACTCCCTGCCCCCCCATAAGCAAGCAATCCCCAGCCTGTGACAGAGGACTGAGCACAAAGCCAGATCCCTTTGTGGCCTTAAAATGGGTGGGGGAGGGGAAACAGCCCACAAAGGGCAGGGTGTTCTCTGTAGCCACATGGTGACTGGAATGTTGCAATCGACTCTCTGGATTTTCCCAGCAGCCCCAAGTTTAATTAAATTAGTTTTGCCCCCTTTGACTTTCTTCAGCCACCTTTGGAAAAGATGGACTCCATTGTCCTGTAGAATAGTCGGCTCTGCCACACAGCACAGGCAGCATCCTTTCCTGAAGGAGCCTGGCACCTGCAGATGCTAGTCATGTCCTGTAGGTCTAGAGACGGGAAAGCATAAGGCCTGAGCTTTCTGACACCTGTTCGGCTGACACAGGCTGGCTCTGACTGTGTAGGTCGGGTCAGGTCGTTTAAGCTAGCTTTGAAGAACAGAAGAGAGGCTCCTCTGTCCTCATTTGAATTTCTTCTCTGTCCAATCTCGAATTTTGTGACTCTGAGGAAAGAGATATTCTAGTGTTTACAGCCAGAGCTGTATCAAAGTTAGACTTTGGACACACAAACAAGGAAGGCTGCAGAGGAGTCAGAACTGTAGAACTAATGCAAAATATCAATATATTCACATAGGGTAAAGCCACCCCTTCCTGGCTCTAGAAAAGCTTAATGCTAAATCAATTATTCTCATCACCTCTGATTTCTTCAAGTGACCGAAAGGGTGGCAATTTTTGGGAATGGCTTCTTTTTTTTTGTTTGTTTTTTTGTACATCTTAATATTTTAAATGATGTGACTTTTTTAACTAAGGCTCTAGCTGTGGAGAAGTACCTTCCATTGGCAGGCTTTGTTACTGCACTTCCAGTGCCTTCCAGGGGCCCAGTGGGAAGCTGCTGCTCTGCCTGAGAACTTGTTAGACTGCCTTCACTGTTGGTACTCTCTTCCTGACCCCTGGCACATCCACACCCCACCCCATCTTGCTCTGCAGACTCAGTATCTTCATCTCTAAAGCAGATAGTGAGGCAGATGCAGTGTGGCCAGGAAGTACAGTGAGTGCCCAGGGCCCAGAACACATGCCCTGACTACACTAACTTGTAGGACACTAATTTGTAGAACGCAACAACAGGCTCCTGGACGTTGGTTATCCTTGTCCTTTTGCTTTGGGACATGGTGTCACTGAATTGCTCCATGGAGAACCAATGTACTCTCGTAGAGTGAGAGGTGTTCATTCCACTAACTGCATTCACTCCCCAGCTCAGGTAGGCCTCAGAATTGTGATTCTCCTGCTTTGTCCCTCTGGAGGGGCTGGCTGCAAAGATTTTTTGGGAAGCTTTTTCTGCCCCTCTTTTTGACTACTGAAGTTTTGACTTAGGGAATACATGCTATGTTTTTTTTTTTTCTGCCAGAAATGCAAAACTATGTCAAAACTAATAAAAAGTCAAAGAAGCTTTCATGTATTTATTTGTATTTGCCTAGTAAGTGATTCCCATGTTGTCTGGGAAATGGCTGTATGACGAGAATGGTTTCTTAAACGTAGCAATTGACAAGTTATCTTCAATTTTATAGTTGAACTATTTCATAATCCATAATTATTGGTCTTGTGTGAATTCCCAACATTTGGAATTCATAGTGTCCAAAAAAAAGTCCTAAATGGCCAGCAAGTTCTGTGGTTCGATTGATTGGCTGCTGATTTGAGCTTTTAGACAAACTTGGGTTTAACTAAGCCCAGGGACCTTGGATTATGTCCCCCTGTCATGTTTGCAGGTGGAACTGTGTAGAAAGGTAACGTGATCCAACATGGCATTTATGACATTCTTGGTTGTAGCAGGAAGCAAACTTACACAGGGCTTGGGGGTTAAGTGTGAGCAAGCTCAAAGGTCAATGGCTTAGCCAGACTTGTAACTAGAGACAGAGTGACACCCATGTGTTTTTCTGTGGCTCTCAGTGCATCGTTTATCTTGCCTTCTTTCTCCCTCCCCCACTTACCCCCCATTCAACTATTGGACTAATCTGGAGTTTGGATCTTTTCCCCAGGAAGCAGCACCATTTTCAGTGGCTACTGCCCCAGAGCCTTTCACCACAGCGATAGCACAGCCACAATACATCTAGTTAATATGTACACATCTCTTCCTAAATTCCAGCTGTCACCTGGATTTGCTCAGATCCCACTGATACAGGTTGTCATCATTTTTATCTTAGAAATGAGAAATCAGAGGCACCCAGTCCTAAAGACACAGGCTTCTCCCCCTTTAGTGGTGAGAATGGATTTATCCTCAAGATCACTTGTTCCCACACCCTCCCCACTTCATCTAGGGTCTCCATGACTCTAATCCTTGAACTCTATCAATTTACACCCTAGTAAGTTCCTGACCTTCCCAGAAACAGAGGTCCCATGCATGGGAAGGAGTGCTCTAGACTTCTAATACTAAGGGAATGAACCTGTCTTTTGTGTATGTGTTTGAATTTCTTTACAAGAAGGAGTGTGTACTTGGGGTTGGGAGTATGCAAGTGAGGGTGTTACATTATAACTGGGAAGGGATTTATCTCAAAGGGTAGAATTAATGCCTCATAGATGATGGATGCTTTTTGTCTGAGACCTGTGTATTTTGTCTCTTAGGTTCTCCTTACTATGACAATGTCCGTCCCCTCTCTTACCCGGATTCTGATGCTGTGCTCATTTGCTTTGACATCAGTAGACCAGAGACTTTGGACAGTGTCTTAAAAAAGGTAAGTGCTGCAGACTGAGGGTGCTGTCCAGCACTTTTGGTGCTGTAGGACTGGAGATAAGTCGTTGGCTGGGGATGCAGAGTCTGAACTTTTGCCCTGTCTTCTAATGAAAATACCAGAAAGCATACTTCCACACCAAAACAAGGTTCCCACACATCAATGCCATGCTTTGCTTGCAACTTTGCTTCATAAAGCTCAAAACAAAATACCTTTTGTGAGCTTCCATGTTTATTTTTTTGGGAGGAAACAGTGTGGACCTACAGTAAGGTCCTACCTGAGACTTCTGTTCATTTGCTAGACAGAGTATTCCATACATGTTCACTGTTGATCTCAATTCAGATATCCAACCTGAATACAATAAGAATTATTTTGATAAGGAAGTTATATTTCAGTAATTTATGGAAGCATAAATGAAATTAGTATAAGAGGAATACTAGGTCTTGTCCCTAGACATGTAACAATGTGAATTATAATCGGGTGTGTATCAAATAGTAGTAAACCATCAGTTGTGATCAGCATGTACATTATTACAGAGCCCTGGTTTCTGGAAGCAAAGGTGGGTCAGATTCTGTAAGTGGAGACAGAACTAGCAGAAGCTGTGGACAGAAGGAACCGTGGCTAAGAGGGATGATACCTGTTGCAGTTGAGTCTTGAGGCCCAAGAAACCACTGTATATGTGTTAGGGGGCAATGCTTGGCCTTCATCAGTGGAGGACTTGGCTCACAGGGTAATTATGGCAACTTGACATAGATGAGTTCCAGGGAGTTCAGTGGGGGTGGGGACCCTGCTTGGCTTTCAGCAACCTAGGCTTTGTTCTTTGGTAGTTCTTGATGGTCATAAGTACTAATAGATGGGGCAGCATGTTGATCACTCACCCATTTGGGGTGTTGTGGGATTTGAGAGTGAGACACTAGCTTCACTTCCCCCTTTTTCTATGTAAGTCAGGTGTGGCTAAGAGCACAGAATGTCACTCAGGGGTCCCTGTGGCCAGGTCAGAGTGAAAACAGGAGGAGCAGAAAAGGAGAACACCTGTGTAGATGTCCGGGCTTGTTTCATTTGCATTGTGTTCTTTTGGTTTTCACTTTCAGTGGTGTACATTTTCTATGCTTTTATTAGCTGATATTTCTGTATGATACTTGCTTGGATTGGTCATTATAAATTTAGGGATTGAGGTATAGCCCTCCTTCAGTTTTTACTAAACTTTCGAGCAGTTCGGTGAGATTGCACTTTTAATAGATCAAAGAGTCCCTTTTAAAGTTTTTAACTTTTATTTAACTTTTATTTATTTAATTCCCATTCAGAGTAATGTATGAAACATGGGTTTGACTTTTGTTAAATTCTGTTAGGAATATACCTTTCCTGTCTTCAAGACTATAAACAAGTACAGGAGGAAGCCAGAAACATCACATTGCTGACAACATAACAACATGTCTGGCTGTGTCTGGAGATAAAAGGGGCTCACACTTACTGGAGTTTGTACTTGATGTAGTATTATTGCATTGTGCATAATTCATGACAGAAAGCTTCCCTCCTGTCCTATTTTATTTTTGTCTCTTAAGATCAAATAAATAGTGACATTGGACCTGTAGATATTAATACAGGTGTTTTACATTTGCATGAGGCTTAAGGCTCATGGTAACTTCATCTGCGTTTTGTCTTAATCTTGGGCTTCAAGTCCATTGATATCAGAGAATTTAGAGTGACTTAAGGTAGGAAGGATTTCTTATTCTGTTTTTCAATTCTTTAGGAGTATGTGCTAAAGGCTCTTAAATAATTGTTGGGGGGAAGAAAAAAAGGAAAACCTCAATGAATGGGGTCAGGCACTCTGTGTTACTGCCCTCCAGGTGCTGGGCTACTTTGATCTAGATGTTCTTGTCTCAGATACACCTTGAGACCTGGAGGCCTCCTCTGGTGGCCTCTTAAATCACTCTTCCAGGGCAACAGCATGCCTTTAATCCCAGCACTCGGGAAGCAGAGGCAGGCAGATCTCTGTGAGTTCAAGGCTAGCCTGGTCTATAAAGCAAATTCCACAACTAGGGCTGTTCCACAGAGAAAGACTGTATCGAAAGAAAAAAAAGCAAAAACAAAAACAAAAAATCAACATTAAATCACTCTTCCAGAATGTCCCTTTTATCTAGTATTACAGTACAACATTTTATTATTGCCCTGTCTGCTCTGTGAACTCCTCAGAAAGACAGATACATCACCATTACAGAACTTCACAGAGCACAAAAGACATCTGTGGGTGGGGATGAAGGTGTTTCATCACCTCTATCCCCTCATCTCTGGAAGCAATGATCTTCTTGGAGGACTTGGCTCCCATCCTGATGAAGAACTCAAGTTAGAGGAAGCAAAACCATGAAAAGCCATTTACTTGCTTTAAAGGGAACAGCTGCAATCCATGCCAGAGACTTCTGGAAGTTCTCATAATTCTCATTAGGACAGGAAATAGTTAAATTGTAGACTACATAGCAGTTAAAAATTAACTCAAAGTTCTATGGGCTACAAAGCTAGTTGCTGTCCTGGAAGCTCAAGAAATAGTTTTCTGCTTAAGCTATGGTCTGTGTCCATTCTGCCACTTTCGTGGAACCTCCTGGAAGCAGGACATTCTGCTTTACTAAGCATAGGCCAGACACTTAGACAGAGCCCCCAGCACATGGTAGCATGGCCAGTCTTTCATGGTGGAATCTGTGAATGAATACTTTTGCTGGTGTGGGCTAATCCTTATGGCCAGCCTTCCACCTCGAAATAAGAAACTCAGCATATCTGAGGATATAGTCATCCATTTGGATATGTCATTATTAAGGAGCTTTTGTCTTTTAAATCCCTCCATAATTAAGACATTGTTGGGGCTACCTTCTGTTAATACCCAATATTCATTGTGTGAGGAACCAATGATTCACACAGAATATAAAACAATATACATGGGCACTCAAAAGTTCGGTATCTACTTACTAATTAAATGCAAGCTTCTTCCCTTGAAGTCTGAGTTTAATGTCTGCCAGTGAGGAAATTGTTTTCATTGTATGCCTGTCAATACTTTGTTAAATGTCCTTTCTTTTTTTTCCCCCTCCTCCCTAGTGGAAAGGTGAAATCCAGGAGTTCTGTCCCAATACCAAGATGCTTTTGGTTGGCTGTAAGTCTGATTTGCGGACAGATGTCAGTACATTGGTGGAGCTCTCAAATCACAGGCAGACGCCTGTGTCATATGATCAGGTACGTAGTTGTTAGGGTGGAAAAGTCACTTTCTAAAAAAAAAAAAAAAGGAATGGAATGGAATATTGTTTGTAATAAGTGAAATGTAGCAGTTTTTCAAGAGGTGAGGCAGTGGTCAACTGAAATATGACATGTTCTGTCACTCTGTAGTAAAAATCACCAGGAATTAGGACACATGGAGCAGCTGATAGCCTTGGATGCTTCTGCTCACCAGTGTTTTAAAGTTGAACATGTGTAAGAGAGAATGTGGTTCCTTTTAAGAGATTTTGATGTCCTCAGTTGCCCAATAAAATCTTAAATCAAGTTGATAATAAAAGAGACCACTCCACGACACCGTCTTTTGAGGGTTCATCATGCTGCATGTATTCCTTCAAAGGGGGAAAAAAAATCTGTTTGGGAATACTTTCTCCTAAAACCCGCCACCAGATTCTCAAGAGTTCATGTTAAAATAGCTACAGCTATATGTGGTATGTATCAGTTAAAGTACTCAATTTTATGGTAGGGGACCGAGCTCAGTAGTAAAGTGCTTGCCCAGTATGAGCAAGGCTTGGGGTTCTATCCCCAGTATATCAAAAACTTAAAGAAAAAAAAAATAATGCAATGAAGTTCATCTACTATTTCTTATTAACAAACTCAGTACAATCATAGAAACTGATTTTACTTAAATGATATTAAATTGTGTTCTTCGCCCTATATTTTGTAAGCCTGTTGACTGGGGTGGAAGGTCATTTATAGTCAGTAAGAGAGGAATGAGAACCTCATGAAGGACTGAGATGGACTCTGAGGGCCAAATCTGTGTGAAAGATTCAGTCTTCAGGTTTTCAGGGTTACTCTGTAGCAAGAGACTGTGTTTCACAGTAGCCCTGTCTGTGACCTCGGAAGCAAGTTACTTCTTGGTTACATGTGACAGTGAGGGTCAAATGCCATCTTTGCATCTCTTGTTTTTTTTTTGAATCATCCTCTTGGGAGTTGGATGCTCAAGGTTCTAGTAAGAGCAAATCAGCATTTTGGAAGCTGTGGGAAGCTAGAGAAGTTTCTACTGAGTAATGTAACTGAGGGCCTTAGGATTGGGTCTTGATTAGGAAGTAACAAAGTAGCTCATGAGGGGGAAAATATATATTTTACAACACTTGAAAAATCCATTTGGCATATGAGATATTTTCCAATATGAAAGACTGCTTGATGGCATTTAACACTTTCCAACATCTCTCAAAGTCTCCCTACTGATGGGAATTCTTTCTTCTACTTCACAGGGGGCAAATATGGCCAAGCAGATCGGAGCAGCCACTTACATCGAATGCTCAGCTTTACAGTCAGAAAACAGCGTCAGAGACATTTTTCATGTCGCCACCTTGGCGTGTGTAAATAAGACAAATAAAAACGTTAAGCGGAACAAATCACAGAGGGCCACAAAGCGAATTTCACACATGCCCAGCAGACCAGAACTTTCAGCAGTCGCAACGGACTTACGGAAGGACAAGGCGAAGAGCTGCACTGTCATGTGAAGCTTCGCTCTCTTTAATGAGGACGCGGGGATCTAGGTGTAAAGAATAAAAACAAAAACCAAGAGCAAAACGAAAAGGAGTCAAACGAAGTGCACAGCCAAAGTCACATGGACGCAGGCTGAGGAGGCCCCTGAAAGGGTACCCAGGTTTTGGAATCCCGTCCTTAGGTTCGGCATGTAGACCGAGTGGTGAGAAGTGAGTACATTGAAGAGTTTTGAAGTGTGACTTGAAAAATATGCCAAAAACAAAGGGAGCTACAAATGGGCTAGATAGAGCTAGAGGAGGAGGAACGCCAGTACCTCTGAGAAGAAAATCCATGCCCTGAATGGTGCTTGCCTATTTTCAGTTTTGTTTTTGTGTTTTCGTTACAACCTATTCATGGATCTCTACTTTGATTTAATTTTCCAATGTTTTAATCTCATTTTCAAAAAGTATATATTAGTGTACCGTCCTCGTCGGGGAACTCGCACTGTGACCTTAGCGTTTAGTTTTCTAGGGGATGTGATCTAATTTCCTCCTAGCTCATCATTAAAATGGAAATTGTATCGGGACCCGTGGGATTCGAGAGGAAAACTTCACGAGGCTTTGAAATCTTGACTTCCTGTGAAGGTCGCTGCTGAGCGAGATGGTTTGAAAGCAAGGCCTCTGCGGCCTTACAAGATGTGTAGACCAGTGCTGCAAAGATCGCATAGATCAAATAGAAAAGAGTGTTGCTTTATATTCCGTCTGATGGTTTCGTTCATCCTTGTGATTGTTATTAACAAGTGGAAAATTGCTCAATGTAATATTTTGTGCGCTGTTTAGAAAAGAGAGTGTGTGGTTTTGTTTTTCTTTTTGCCATCATTGATAAAAACTCGAAGTCAAATAAAAAGTGTCTTGGTTTGATATGATAGTGATTTAAAGAGGAAGCAGATGGATACTGTTTTTACCAGGAGAAATAATGGATGAAGTAACTATAGCAGAGAGCACTGTTTTGAGCGAGGCTATCTGGAAGAAAGTCATTTTTCAAATACCTAGAACCCTGTTGTCTGTTATAACCCAGACTGGCAGCAGAGTGAACTATTTGCTCATGCCACTTCCTTCAAATGAACATTGTCCTGACAAGGGTCCCACTTGTCCAAGCTTTAGAAAACCCCAGAGAGAAAGAAAAAACAAAAACAAAACAAACAAACAAAAAACTTATAATGTCAGCCCTGATATGAGCCTAGGGCATTTCTCAAGTGACTGCTAAACCTCAACCAGATTCAGCAGGGCCAGGTTCAAGACTTGACCATGAGAGAGTGATAATCAGCATTTAAAATAGTTCACAGGTTTCTCCTTGTGAGTGGTTCCTTCCAGAGAAGATGCCCCTGTTCTAGGTGATGCTTGCTGCGAACAAGCTTTTTCCCCCCAACGATGACACTTCATTTTTGAGGCATTGAAGCTGTGTTTCCATTAAACTGTGGCAGGAGGGGAGAGTAAGAAAATTACAACATCCAATTCTGTGTCTTACAAGCACTTTGTTTTGTCTCTGCAAGAAAGTGCCATTTCAATCATTTCCCATGAAACTCAGACATCTTGCGAATATAGTGTGCTTTGACTGGTGTGGCGTTATGCTGTGGGCAGTATTACAAAATAGCTGGCGAGTGCTTTCTGTATTTAAATACTGTAAAAAGAAAATAAGTTATAACTGTTATAAAGCAGAACTTTTTGTTGCTTTTTTTTAATGTTGAAGTCACTTTGTATGTTTGTTTGGTCAGTGTTTCCACAGTATTTATTAAAACGTACGTGTTTTTTTTTTTCTTCAAATAAAAAAGTAACCATGTCCTGTCTACCTGAGATGTTTCCTACTTCTTAACTGTTGATCTATGCTCTTTCAGGGGTGACTGCAGAATCTGAACTAATATTTGCTGAATTAGGAAAGTTCAGAATTTGATTCTTGGCAATACTTTCTTGGAAAAAGATAAATCTATGGATAGAAGATGTTGACATGATATTTTAAAGAAAATCAAGAAAATGGGGCATACTTGAGTGATTTGGACACATACAAATAGGATAGAATTAATTTTTAGAAAGTGGCAGAATTCCTTGGAGCTCTTTCCCAGTGGAAATGAATGGTACAGACCTTGCTTACACAAGGAAATCTAATGTGACCCTAGTTTCTACTGTGTCTTCTGGAGACTCAGATATCCCCCTTGCAATGTGTGTTCTTGTTCAGCAGTATGGCTTGCTCAGGATCCAACTACTGCAACTTAGTGGAGGCAAAACAAAACCAGTCTTATTTATGGTGGAGGCATTGTTCAACACAGAACAAGATAATACAGACATCCTCTCTGATGTGAAAATCAAGTACATGTGGAGTAACCTGGGGGAAAAGTGTTAGGTCCTATCAGCCCAGGTGATTGTCCTCAGCTAAAATCTTCTTTACATAAATGTCTAGAAGGTGAGACTTCAAAACTGTGATTCAACACAGCCAAGATAGTTTGTGTAAAAACTGCATCCTGTGGTTTTAGAAATCTTTGTGGTATAGTTACTAGTTTAATAAGAGTTCTCAGAAGAACAAAGCAGAAGGGAAGCCAGAGGATCCTACATGAAGAATCTTAAGAGCATGGGCATTAGGGGAGAGCTGGAGAAAAGATTTGGAACATAAGCATTTACAGAATATGTTTGTGATTCATTCCTGTCAAGTGCTAAAGGAAGTAAAAGCACTGTCCCAATACTGGGGATGAGTAGTAGTTTCGATGCCTACCTGTAAAGCAGGCTTGTAAAAAGCTTGTTTCTCAACTATCTCTGCAACAATGAACAAACAAACAAACGGGGAGGCCGAACAAACAAACAAACGGGGACGCAGGGGAGAGGAAAAATTCTGCTGACCTTGGTTGCTTCTCTGGCTTGGCAGTAATGTCCCTTCTGGTCAGTTCTCAGCTTTAATTTGTTGAAGCCAAAAGAGAAAAAATCCTTCTTGCTCACTGGCTTCATTAGTCTACCTTTACCCGGGCTTTTGGCCCTGCATACATAACTGACCAGTCCTTTCAATTTATTAGTGGTCACAATTAAGAGCTTTTTAAATACCAAAAAGTAGTCTTCAAACTCTTAGCAATTGTCTCTCTCATTTCTATTCATCCTTTTCAGAAATAGTTGCTTAGAAGATTCTAGTCTTACAGAGAGAGTGTCTTGAGTATAAACTGAAAAAAGTAGGCCTGGGGATTGGGTGTGTGACTCTTGAAACTCCAAGTGCTTTGTCTTCTTATGGGTTATTTTGACATCAGTATTAAACCATCCAGGTTTTATTTTGGTCATTTTTTCATTAATTTACCAGATGTTTCTTGAGTCTCTTCTAGTATGCTTAGCACTTTGATGAGTTGATCACCTAAGTGATTAGAGCACAATCTCTGATTGAGAATCAGGGAGAATTCGTAGTGAAAGGTAGTCAAGGTGGACAGGCAGGCAGATCACATCAAGATGGGCTGATCTGCACTGGCAAGAACTGACTCATGGGTGCTGGGTTGCTGGTAAATAAATACTTCTGTGAGTAGCTAGTTCTCCTGTTATAACACTTTCACAGTACTGTAATTCAACCTGCAGGAAGAATTCTAAGTTCATCTTAATGACTAGAGTCCCATTTAATAATGACACAAGAGCAACAGCCTATTGCCAGTCATCACTACATTATTCTTACAATGAACAAAATTTTAGTAGCTTGTTAGAGAGTCACTAGGAGACAATCCTTCTCAATTAAGTCTGGACACACCCCAAAGAACCATCATTAATAAAATGTGCTGGCTTTGTACCTGGAACTTTCTCCTGTAGAATCTTAGATTGCTGAATAAAAATTAAAATTGGCACAAATCCATAGAATCCTATTACAAATTAAAATTATTTCTAAGGCATTGGTGCAATACATCCTTTTTTGAAAGTAGAGACTTCAATATTTAGTGTTGAAACATATATTTTGTCACAGTCTAAAATATAATTTTAGCCAAGTACTCACTAATAGTGAGTTTTAAGCCCTTCTCATTCTGAGAACACAGAAACAAAATTGAATGAACTCCCCCCCCCAAAAAAAAAACCCAACTTTGTAGGCCTTTCAAAGCTAATGTGTCTTTGGGATTTTACCTTGGATTTTGTTTTGAGTGGCTCTTTAGTGCCTTATTTCCTTGATCACTGAGGTGCTACCAAGACACTTCTAATTTAAACATAAATGAAAAAAACAGGCTGTCCACAGTAAGAATTGAAACTGGGTCCATTTATGATCCAGTATTGTCATAGCAGCAATGAGACGAGGATGTGTCAGAACCTGTTTGAAACAGTTCACACCCTTCACTCGTTCTCTAACCCAAGTATATGTAGTAAATGAAGGACCATCTAATTCCCTGTTTGGGTGTAGTGATTGGTCATCTACAGGTTCATTTGAAAGAGCCAATAATAGAACTCAGGCAATCAGTGCAGATGCTGCAGCTCTCCAGTCTTCTTCTACACTACCATCTTATCACTGACATTAATCCATGAGTGTGGTATGGTGTTGGAGCATGTAAAGGAAGAACCTCACAGCCATAGAGTCGTTATATGAGCCACAGGGTGTGGATGCATCTTCCCCAGCCTCCCGAGTAAAGGAAGAACCTCAAGAGTCGTTATATGAGCCACAGGGTGTGGATGCATCTTCCCCAGCCTCCCTAGCTCTTCATCCTCTGAAACCTTCCTCTGATTCACACTGTTTCCTGACACCTGTCATTCTCCTGGCCTTCGGCCTCTCTTCTTTCACCTCTATCTTTTTCCCTCCTTCTTGATTGGTGGGAGCATTATTCGATGATGGAAGGAACCCCATCGACAGTTAATACTCATGGCTTCCACACCCCAGGACTTCTGGAACTGTACAAGAATCAAGGAATTCCATAGCAATAATTCTAGAGTCCAACCCCAACCGAATGCTGTGGGTACCAGCATTGAACAAAAAAAACTTGAAAAGAAGATTTGACTGCTGGGAATCTTCTGCACTGTGTCTAATTGTTAGTGGGTATAATGAATAGGGATGGGGTGATCAGATACACTAACCACATTATGTTGATCCCATGTTTCTTATTTTGAGGAATCCAGTTTTAGGAAGATGATGTCTCATTCATTTTTATTTTCTCAAAGGCGTGTCCTCAATAAATTGCTATTTAAAAGGTTGAGAGTATCTGAGAGTGAGCCACTTCTCTACACAGGGTCTCATACAGTCCCAGAGAATAGGGAAGGAAATAGAAACCTGACCTGGAGTCAGTTCAAACAAATGTAGTGCCCCCATTGAGCTGAGAGTCATCTGGGCAATTAAAGTAACTGCCACCAGTAGATTGAGGTGCTGCATGCCACCATTAGGACTCTGTGGTGAGGGCTTTCTCCTCTTAAGACACTTCTGTATTTCCAACTAATATATATTTCTTTCTATGTTCTTTCCTTTCTAGTATGCAACTCATTTAGTCCCAATCTCCATTCACCTATTTTCTAAGACTTAACTTATAATCAATATTAATTCATAATTCAGTATTCAAACATGGTGTTTCAGAACAAGGCCAAAATCAATCAGCCAATGTGACTTTTACTATGTTTTAAAATGATCTAAAATCAGAAAATGAGCTGTACTTTCTTGGTCAGCTTCTGATAACAATTTTCTCAGTTTGTGGACAGGTGAGATCTCTCCTTCCTAGATAGTAGACACTCTAGGGTAGTTTGAGATGCTCAACACTTACAGAAGATTGTGGTTGAGATGTCACTATATGTCAGTACCTGCTACAGTAGGCTGTAAGTTAATGAATTAATGAATGACTGAACTAGTAAAAGAAAGGATGCTTCCGGGACTGTGATGTCCTGATCTGATTCTCTCTAGCACTCTGGATCTGAAGTACTCTCTGTGGTTCTCCAGAAGCTTATTAGACCTGGAAGTTCCCTAAGGAGAAGGGAAAGCATAGGAAAGGCTTTGTGCCCATGTGGCTACCTGCCCTGCACTTCTGCACTTCTCCCACCTCAGCCCCCACTCTCCACTTTAGTCCCTTTTTGTTTGTTTGTTTGTTTGTTTTGTTTTTTGTTTTTCAAAACAGGGTTTCTCTGTGTAGCTTTGGAGCCTATCCTCGCACTCGCTCTGGAGACCAGGCTGGCCTCGAACTCACAGAGATCCACCTGCCTCTGCCTCCTGAGTGCTGGGATTAAAGGCATGCGCCACCAACGCCCGGCTCACTTTAGTCCCTTATACACTTCACACAAGCATTTATCAGCTGTGGTGGTCTGAATATGTCCCCATACATTTATACTGGAAGTGTGATTGTGGTGTGGTGCTGTTAGCATATGGGTCTTTTGGGAGGTGTTTGGTTGAACTGCTCAGGTAGTTTCATTAATAGCACAACAATGCTTCCAGGAGCAGGTTCACTTGTGCTTTTCTGACATAGGAGAACACAAAATTTGTCTGTCTTCCTTCCTTGTGAAATGCAGTAAAGGAGGCCTTACCAATTATTGG